GTTGTCCATTAGAAAGTTTATTCAAGGAAAGAGAAAAGACAAATCAGCCTCTGTAGTTAACATGAGTTAAGGTTAAGTATAGTTTGCTTAAGGAGTCTTAGCTATACCTTTAGCTACATAGCCCAGCCTCTGGACTTAGTCATTGGCAAAGAAGTTGTGTCTCACTTCCAGGGTTGCTCTAGCTCCAGGATATTAACTGAGTAAACATAAAAAGATCAAAACTGGGAAGGACTGTTCTACACACTGGCTAGGGATGAGAGGTCATGTTTTTGCCTTGAAAGTGTAATTCCCCTTCTCAGGAAAATGCAATTTATCTTCCCACTAATGGGGAAAATGTTGTAAAGTGGCAAATATTCACCTCCCTCCTCTTTTGGCTTAGCACTTCTCTGCAGTAAAAGAGCATAAAATACCAATCTGCCACAATGCCATTTTAAAATTTCTTGGCCCACAATCCCATCAAGATATGAGAGCTTACTAGTAAGTTGTTTGTTGCCAGGACATTTCAAAAAAGACAGGAGATAGGAAAGAAAGACAAAAGATAAGAAAAAATATAAGAGCTATGATGAGAATGCTCTTCAGATGTTGCAATTTAACTTGAGGGCCCTCATAAACTGAAAGTATTTACAATGGTTTTCTATTATAAGATTATGTCAAGTTAACTTAGGAAGCAGAATGTACAGTAAAATCTTAGTATATGAGATTGCTGTCTGACAGAAGGAAAGACAGACCTCTGTATTAGGCTGTAGAACTATGCTAAGTAAATGGTAGCAACTAAACTACCATGCAACAAGCACATTTGCAGGGTACAGCAGCATTATGCAGCCGTCTAATTATGAAGAATTTCAGAAAGCACCAGCTGAAATACCTGAATCATGTGAGATGCTAGGACAGACAATAAGAGAGGCTCCAACTGGATGGAAAACAAGACCCAGCAGAAAAAGATGGTCTATTAAGGAGGATGGCGTAATCCTAGTGTGTAAATCCAGAAAGAAACAGGTAAAATAAACAAGAAAAAATGAACTCAAACCAAAGGACAGAACAAAAGGGAAGTTCTGAATAATTGAGTTTGGGATTACACTAAGTAATGTAGTCATCTAAACTGTTTCTACTAGAATTGACTTTTAGACCTCAGTCCTAGCCTCTGTATGCCTCTATTCCATTTACAAAGAGGATAATTTATCTTTTTCAAAGTGACATGGTAGCGTCCTCAAATACTAAAGGAATTTCTGAAAGATGAAAAAGCTACTTTTGTCAGAAAATCGGAGACCAAAATGATCTTAAACAGAATGCACCTTATTTAATGATATTCAGTGAAGACACCTTGCCAGCACACTGCACCATTTTCCTATTAAACCAGAGTGCCTGCAAGTAACCTTATTTTACTCTAGGTTTACTGCAAAAGACTGTTATTAAAACTAATGAAAGTTTACATATAGACACACACTGAACATTAGTCATACATAAGAATTTATGACAGGATGTGATAAATGCCTTATTTCCATGATAAAAGTTGGGATCATTACCTGAGCTTGAAAGCTTCTGGTTGGGTATTTACACTCTAGGCTAGAGACCTGCTTACCTGGTGAGGATTTAGTCTGTGGCAGAGTCTTCCTGCAAAGTGTTGAGTCTCTCCTCAAGATTATTAAGACTAGTTTAAACATAAATGCTGGATTAGAAACATTAATGAGGTAACAAGATGCACAATTTAATCTATAATGATATTTAATCTATAATGAGCAGAGACTCAGGACTATCTAATCTGAGAGACTTTCTGGCTACCTGGTAGGATATTGATTCATTATTATCACAGAAACAAAGAGCAAACTCCCATAACATCACGTGTGGCAATGTGAGATAGTAAAGTAGGAGCTAAATATTACCATTAATTACTCAGTGAGCAATAAAAAAATATTACTCACTGGGACTCTCTACTGATGGTTTCATTTTCACTGGACGTTTATAACTTAACATATATGAGACAAGATATGCTGTGCTGCACATACCAATAAGAGAGTGAAACAGGAGTTACATCAGCAAGGCTCATTTTCAACAAACATTCTTGATTTGAAATTTTGAATGAACATATTTTAAAATAAAAAGAATGAGCTATATTTCATAGTATCGTAAATGCCTGAAAATGCAATGGTATCTGCTTATGTTATAACAGTACAGAGCCGGTGACATTTTCAGATGCCTACATTTATTCCAGAAAGTGCTCAACATCAGTCAACTAACAAAGTTTACTCCTTGCAGACAGGAAGAAATAAGGAAAGCCTTAAAAAGGCTGAAGGAAAAAGGAGGAAAGGCTTTACTGGGAAGAAAAAAGGGCAGATAGCTGGAGAAGAATGTTTTCTGCAGAGGGGCACTGTCTCATAAATGCTGATTGCAGAGAGCTGCCAGCTACTAAATTCTTATCTGCGTTTCTGGAACCTGTAATTACAAAAAAAGATGACATGAGGGGAAGATGAAGTATTATGTCATTAATTATTGATAGTGACCTTTTTAGAGGATGAAGTTCTATATTAGATAAGGTGAGCCAAAACACAGTGAAGTCACAGAAAAGCTTGTTTTCCAACCGCTAGTGACAGCCCATGCTGTTATCATCGCCTCCATATACACACCCACACTACTGCTCTGTCTGCTTCCTCATGCAAATTATTATCTCTGGCTTTGCATAGCTCCAGGGTCTCAGCATAAAATTTTTGGATAATTCTGCAGGAACTTTTTATAGGAATCAAATTATCAAGTACCTGTGCTGGGAATTCCCCTATAAACATTTTTTCCAACCACTTTGTGTCAAAGGCAAAAATTGTCATTGCATTTTTTATCTTACCTGCCCACATATTTAGAGAGATCTCTAGAGATTTTTCAAGAAAATCTAAAATCTCTAGAAATCTCTCTAAATCTCTAGAGATCAATATCTTTATTGATTTCTATTTCTAGAAAACACACTGAATTAAAAAAACCCAAAATCTAACCCTTGTCTGGCGTAAGTGATTTACAAAAGGACAGAAAAATCACCTAGAAGGCCAAGAAAATGTTTTTAAATCTAGGTATACATTAAGGAAATACCTAGGAAATGCACACAACTTTATCAGGGATAAACCAGGAAAATTTCTCCCTCTCTTTTTCTATCTGATAGACTAATTTTGTGAATGTTTACAAAGTTTCCTGGTTTTAACTTTAAGGAAACTCGATCCAAGAACATGTAATTATTTTATTAAACGATTAGGTTCTGGCTTGTGTAAGTTGTGTGTTTTCATGTGATGCTTACTAATAAATTAAAAGTGTCTGTTTGAGAATGAACATCTCTTGTGAGCAACCCACCAAACAGCTCACAAGAATCCTCTCTTCAAAGTGAGATTGCAAAGGATCTCCTGAAGCTAGGTTCCTTACCTGAACCACCCAAAAAAGTGGGCAGGCCTTTCTAAGAGCTTGCTTGCTCTGGACTTCCATTAGATACTTCCAGATCTCCATTTGTAAAAAGTGATATACTCCAGGATATATTTGGAATTTAACTGTTTTTCAATAGTTTGAAATGACCAGTGGCTGTCCTATCTGGTGGCATTTTGGTTAATGCAACATTTGTTTGTAATCAAACCTCTCATATTTCTTATGAAGTGCAATCTATTTGATAGAGTGAAATGATACAATAAGATGTCACAGTTGGAAAAGGGGAATATTTTAAGGTGTTCTAGAAGAGAAAAGCATTTTTGAAATCTGTGAATTCAATATGTGAATTGTCAGTGTGCTACATTTATGAAAGTCATTTTTTATTACGTAGGACACAAAAATTGTCTCCTATGGTGTGCTGAAGCCATGGCCAAACAAACAAGGGTGGTGAGATTTTCTTGTAGGCAAAATCAATAGCTTGGGGCTGGTGCTTCCTGAAACAGTACACCAGGGATCCCTCTTGCCACTGCTGAGTGGTATGTAGCAAAGCTTTCAGAAAGTTATGAAATGCTTTGCAACTCACATGAATCACTCTTAAACTATTATAAGCACTTGTATCTACCCATATCTTTTGTCTGAATCCCTCAAATTATTTTAAGACGAATGAACACTGGCTGTGTGAGCATGTGTGGGATTGGAAATGTGAATAGGTATGAAACTTAGGACAGCAATGCCATTAATCAGTGCAAATCCTGAAGAAGATGACATGGTTTTTAGGCCTCCTTCTCCCTCCCCAAGCTTCCCCTTCAATCCCCCAGCTCCTGAGTTATCCGAAGTCGGTGCCAAATAGCTTCAAAAAGACAGGAGACTCATTGTCTGCCCCGGATGAGCAGGAACACCCATTTCACAAGGAGCTGCGAGCACTGACTGTGCACTGCAAGAGGGTGGCCCAGACTGCACAGTTTCCAGCAGCCTCAGAGCACTGGAAACAGCAAGAGGAGCTGCGATTTCCACGACAGTCACACAGGGTCTTCCCGAGGACCTGCAGAGAGCAGCAGGGTACACCTTGTGTGGAGATGGCATCTCCTTGCGTGGGGATGTCCCTGCTCCTGGGGAAGCTTGGACACCTTAATCTTACTCCCTGTATGTGACATGGCAGGTCAGGGGTTATCAGCGGATCAGAATAGTTTGGGTTGGAAGGAACCTAATGATCATCTAGGTTTCCAAGCCCCCCTGCCCTGGGCAGGGTCACCTCCCACTAGACAGGATGGTCAGAGCCTCATCCAGCCTGTCCTTGAACGCTACCAGGAACGGGGCATGCACAATTTAACGCGTTCTGGGCAGATTATGAGGGCGGCATGCTCTGACAGACACACGGTCTGTCACGAACTCTGACCCGCGCACTCACCGGGCAAGAGCAGGCTCAGAGAGCTCCAGCTCAGCCGGGGGCGGCACCTCTGGGCATGTCCGCGGCGCTGGGCGCCGGGCACACACCTGGGGCAGCCCCGAGACCCTTCCCCCGTCCCGTCCCGTCCCGCCCCGTCCGAGCACCCTCACGCCCCGGGGGCCGGGGCCGCGCCTCGTCCCGCCCCAGCCCTCAGCGCGCAGCGCAGGCGGGACGCGAGAGCGGCGCGGGCAGCCCCCAGCCCGCTCCTTCTCCTCCGCAGCCGCCGTTCCTTCTCCTGCCCGCTGCCGCCCGCCCGGCGCCGCGGCAGAGCCCGGGGCAGAGCCCGGGGCAGAGGATGGCCGCCCCGCCGGGCTCCGCCGCGCTCCGGGCGCTGCTGCCGCCGCTGCTCGCCCTGTGCGCCGCGCAGCCGGGCCCCGCCGGGGCTCAGCCGGGGCTCAGCCTCCACCCGCCCTACTTCAACCTGGCGGCGGCCGCCCGCGTCTGGGCCACGGCCACCTGCGGGGAGGCGGCGGGCGGCGGCGGGCGGCCGCAGCTCTTCTGCAAGCTGGTGGGGGGCCCGGCCGCCGCCCCGCTGGGACGCGCCATCCAGGTAACCGGGCGGCGGGACCCCCCCATCCCCGGGCTGTGTCTGGGGGTGTGTGGCTTTTTTGGGGGGGTCTGATGTGACCCTGCTGTCTCAGCTCCTGGCTGAGCGTGTGCCACGGGCATAGGAAGGGCAGCGTGGACCGGCGGGAATCATGGATGGATGGATGGATGGATGGATGGATGGATGGATGGATGAATGGATGGATGGCAGCGGGCAGCGGCGCCTCCGCCCGCGCACCTGCCCTCCCTCAGGTGTCCCGGCGCCTCCTGGAGCCGCACGGCCGCACCCCGCCCGGGCCGCCGGGAGCGCAGCCGGCCCTCGGTGCCGCGGGGCACCTGCAGTGCTGCTGCCGGCCGAGTGTGAGCTGCTCGGGCACCTGGAGTGCCCCGGGGCGGTGTTTCGTGGCCCGGCTCTGCGGTGAGCAGCGAGATAGTGCTGGGGGTAAACCAGGGGAGGTGCATGGGACGGGGCTTCACTGGCAGCTGCTGACCGGGCAGCGGGCATCTCTCTGCAGAGAGCGGTGGGAAAAGAGTCCTGGCTTTAGTCGAGTAGTTTGTGATGTTTTAGAAGCACTAAATGTGAGGCTTATCGTTTGCGCCTTGCATTGCTTGTGGGAGGAAGCCAGAGACTTCTTGGGACTCCGACAGGGAGTATAAGTGCAGAGGGCAGCAAGGATCGTGCTGTTCTTTCCTAGCGTAGCTCAAGATTATTACACACGTTTTGTGCCAGTCACAAGAAAGATAACAATAAACTGCAAAACTTTTGAAAAAGGATTAATGGAAATGTATCTTTCCTTTGGAAGAAACTTGTATTTCCACATTCGTTAGAGGATAAGGGAGGAGTAACAAATGCACCAAACTGTTGTACTGTGATGGATGCTTGATATCTGTTTGATCAGAGCTGTGTTAAAAGAAGGGACTTTCCTGAAGCCTCAGGAAAGTCCATCCAAAGATATTTTAATTGTGTTCTCTCTCCGTGGGAGGAGAACCAGAAAGAAATTGTAATTTGAAAGGGATTTGGAAAATTTAAAGGTCCACTGTCTGACTTTAGGCAAAACAGAAAGCATACAGGTAAATTTTTAGCATCTTGGAAGAAGAGCTAGTGTTTCAAAGTCTTATGTATGTTTTATAGTGAAATAACCCATAAGATATGGTTTCAGAAGGGGTTGCAATGGATAACAGAGTTCTTCTCATTTTTTTAATGAGAGTAGGCACTCAAGAGAGGGGGAGAGGATGAAGAAGGTGCAGCATGTGTATTGCCATGTGCCAGAAGGGAGCGTGCACCATCATGCAACCTGTCCTCACAGTTCATTGGGCAGCCACAGACAGCAGTGTGCTTTGCTCTGGACTTCCCTGCTTCATAACTCCCTGCTTCCCAATGAAATCTTCTTATATCTCTCTCTCTCTTTATATTACCTTATAATCTCTGTAGTGCTTTCAGTCATAAAAAAAGCTCAAAGTACTTTGGAGATGGCTGAGTAGTATACAATTCTAGTAGAAGGGAAACTGGGACACAGGTATTGCATGCTTAAACTGAGGTTACAAAAAAAGGTTGTGATGATCAGGAAACTGCTTGTTTTGCTGTTTCTAACATATCTCTAAAGTTTAGGCTCCCATCCTTCCATACTGAATGCAACACCCATGTTTAAAGTTGCCTGAGACAATCGTGCCACCAGGTAAAATTGTAAACGCAGCAATCTCTCAGCAACTCACTCCAGCCCACTGCTGCAATGAAATCTCAAACCAACATGCCTTGAAATATCAGAAATCACAAGGTAATAAAAATCAGCCAAAGCAAACATCAGATAAACTTGTCAAGCAAGTGGAACGAAGCCTGCGTGCTGCCTCTGATGGTTTTTGTAGTTGTTTCCTTTATATACTAACACTCAACTGGAAATGAGGGTTTGCTGTGTAAAGGAAGAGGGGTCTAGAAAGGGGTGGTTTCTTCCCCTTAAATATTTGACTTGCAGGTCCTAGGTTAGAGGGCTGTTATGGTTCATGCCCGGTTACAGTTCCCAGAAGGAGTGCTGATAGCTCCGCCCTGGCACGAGGAAGCGTGTTGTGCCTCTCAGAGCGTTTGTGTAAGGACAGATACTGCAGCATCTCTTTCCACTTTTAACAAAGCCCCATTGAGATACAGAACATGAGTGCTTCTGTGGTTTACCAGTAGTTGTTGTGGTTCAAGAAGTGCTGGAAAGTCTTTCAAAAGGCATGGGGAATCCAGACAAATCCAGACATGGAAAATGCACAATGTGTGTATTCTCAAGCCACTTCACCTCTCAAATTCAAACACACTGTAAATAAGAGAATTTCTTCTTTCATGGAAAATTGGAGAGAATTGCATGAAACTTTTACAGAACATGAGCTTACATAGAAGGATTTAAAATCAGCAATTTAAAATCACGTGGCGTTTCTTGAGAGTCGTGAGGGAAGGTCACGTGGCTTTTACAGTGATAGGTGTAATAGCCACGGTCTTGTGCTGGTTCAAGTTCAAGTTATACCACACACTTGAGTCACTCTCTTTTAGACTCTCTACAATGCTGGATTGCAGGAGTTGCTCTATGAATAGGGAAATTGGAAAGGAGGTGCAGAATGTGATCCTCATTCTGGCAAAGGGAGCAGACAGCTCTTTTGCCAGTGCTATCTGAAAATAAGGCAAAGAGGAAGAACAGCCCCAGCATCATTTCTATTGCTCTGCCATTGCTTGTTCTCATTCAGCTTGTCATTTAGTGATGTGTCTTTTAAAGAAGCCTGTAATATCCAGCAAATCCAGAAAGAGCATTTGGATGTTTAAAGGTGGTCAGTGGGGTGGTTGGTTCCTTTGTGGGCACCTCAACCAAGGCTCTAAGGCAGTGCTGGACATACAGTGTGGAAAGAGGTGTGTTTCCCTAATGTACCACACTGGCATGTAGGAAGTGACTTAATGAGAACAGTGTTGAGTGAAGAAATGCACAACAGTATAAAATATTTCAGCAGCTGATAGATAAGTGGCATGCCTGGTTTTGCCTGCCGGTCTGTCCACAGTGGTGTGCGGGCGTGAGTTAAAGTCTAACTGCATACCTGTCCTGCCCTGCCAGTGGCACAGAGCTGCTGGGTATGAAAAAGTGAACAAATCCTTCATTGTTGTCACTTTCCATAACTCACAGGCAAGACATTTTCATCCCTGTGTGTCCCTGGTCCACACTAGCATATTTCAGCAAACTCTTTCATGCGGTTCCAGGTCTCTCTTTTGCTCAGGAGAAGCAGGGGAAAGGAGGGTAACAAGGTCACCAGCAAATGCACACCTGCCTGTCTGATGAATTGCAGCCAAAATCAAACCAAGTTTCAAGGCCCAGTCTTCTAGAATGGAGACGTGTCCTGTAACAACCAGGCTGAGCACAATGTGCCTGAGATACTGCCAGAGAGAAGGAAGGAAGGCTGCTCTGTCCAATAATTTTTTTTCTTTCATTTTTGTTTTGCTGCCTAGTTGGCAGGGTTGCTGGAATGTAATTTAAATAACTGAAACTCCAGCTGTTGCAATGAAATTCTTTGAATTATGTGCCCAAAAAGAGAAAGATGGTATCTTGAGTTCAGATCAAGTGATCTGGTATACTGAAATCACATAAGTGCATGTAAATTAAACTCTTGTGTTTAATACTCCCCATTGTTTTCTTCTCATTCAACCTTTCTTTGAGGTTGTTTCCAGATCAGAGCTGAAACTGCTGTAACAGCAACTGTTTCCTGTGTACTTCCAGCCTGATCATTGTGAATGTAATTTAGATCTAAAGACTATGTTTCAAGCCCATTATAAAGCTATTTAGGGAAGCTTGCCCTGTTGTAACATATATGTCAGAACTCAGGTATGCATTTGTCAGGGAGGATGCTGTGATGTGGTAGTACCTGCAGTTGCCAGTGCATAGATTGATTTCTCGGGGTATGGATTTTTGCAGATAGTGACATGATGTTCTTTGTCATCGCTGCAGAAACTGGCAGCGTTGCCTGTAGCTAACACGGGCTGATGTGTATCTGCTGCAGCAAACCACCTGAATCAGACTGAGTCCTGGCCTATTGTAGTTTGTATTAAAGTCAGCCAAACCATCTTCTCTAACAGAGCTGGAGGAGAATCATGTTATAACATGACCCCAGCTGTAGTTAACCAACTTGTGTGTGTGAGTATTTCATCTCTTTGAATTGAGTTAACCCCCAGCCAGATTGGCCCTGGCTGTGCTAAATCAGAACAGCTAATGTCTTCTGGAAACTGCATCATATTCTGGGCTTTCTGGAAGGGCAGGATGAGGATGGAAGTACTGCTAGATGCAGATGCTGAAATCACTGCTGTTGATGCAGAAATACTCAATTCAGTGAACTTCTATTTCAGTTTCAAACATCAATTTTCTATTCAGCGACACAGGATGGTCTATTCATATCACATGAGACTGATTAAATATTTTCCAATCCGTTAGTTACTGTGGTAGGTGTTAAATAAATTCTGCTAAACATCTTAAAACTCACCAAGCTTGCAAGGCTGCACCCAGCAAGAGTGTGAGAGCTCTTCTGTTACTTCCCTGCAAAAAGTGGACAAGTATGATTGCTCCAGTTGCTTTGCATTGCTTAGTCTGACAGGAGTGACAAACAAAACAATGGCACTTATATAGGAGTCTGTTAATTCTTAAAAGTTAGGAATGTGCTTCATGCCCAGCAGTGCAGATTGTGGAAACAGCAAAAGATTTGTCACATGCTTTTGATGGTAACATGTGCTTAGTTGACAAGGTAACATTTGCCCCATTCCCTTTATTTTAAACAGGAGTCGAGCACAGTGTCAGCAACTCACAGACTGATGGATTAAGCAACAGTCCTACTGCAGTAGCCATGGGGGTGTACTGCCATTGAATGAAAATGTTATTTTTCTACAGAGATTTGTAGCTGGCACAGTTTAGCATTTTCACTGATTATCTCCACCTAGTGTTGGAATAAGAAGTGAATGGGATGCTGAAAAGATCCCTTAATAACTAATTTCAGCGGTTCAGCACTAATCTTAGTAGACTGTAAAATGTATTTTCTTGGAGATAAAAATAGCTTGTGGGGCAAGCCGATATGAAATCAAAAGACAATTAATTTTCCTGAAGTTGATTCATCATTATTGTACAAAGAGCTTAAGAGACTCTCAAAGGGCACCTCTGGATAGTGGCTTTAGTTGTGGACTGGAAATTGGGCAGTAACTTCTTGCAATCAAGGTACAATGCCATTCTTTAAAGGGAAGCTTAAAGGGAACAGTCTGATTCCTTTTCCACCAGTACATATTGTTTAGAAAACTCGGGTTCAGAATGTATTTTAATGGCACGAAAAAAATGAAAACAGTGTTATAAAATTCTAATACCCAACTTACAGCCAAGTAACAGAGCTTTTTTTGTTATGGTTTCATTTATACCAGGCTATGTGCATATGTGGATATTTCATGTTGTTTTAGAAGAATTGAAGATAATTTGTTTGTTGTTCCTAATCCAGTTCTAAGACTTTTTATTTCACTAATTTTCTGCAGATTTCCTGCAGACACCACTGTAAAAGTAATATAGGTAATTTCATCAAAATGTCAATAAGTTAATAAAGATTTACCTTATTGAGATTTCTGAAGTTTTGTTTTGTAACATAAAAGCTAGTGTGTTTCAGTGTGTAATTTAATTACCAAAGGAATAATTTGTACATTAAAAGTTACGGTGTATAAAGGAACAAAATTTACCCACATTTTTAGTCAACACCCTAGTTCAGAATCTCCATTAACAACCACGTGTTATCAATGTGTAAAGTGTTGTCTGAGACCATGTTTTTGATTGATTGTGTTTCAGGGCCAGTTCTGTGATTACTGCAATGCTGCTGATCCCAGCAAAGCTCACCCCATAACCAATGCCATTGATGGCACTGAGAGCTGGTGGCAAAGTCCCCCTCTTTCCATGGGCTTGAAGTACAACGAAGTCAATGTCACCTTAGATCTGGGGCAGGTGAGTGCCTGAGCCATGGGGTGACGTGTGATCATTTCTTTCATTTGTGTATATGCTTTGCAGTTGGGAGAGATGTTTGAGCTGTTGATTTTTGCTTCCTGATGTCACTTCCAGCTTTTTTGTCTGGTTTATGTTCTGTATTGTTATACCAAGTTGACTGTATACTGTATAAAGTGATTGTTTTCCTTTAGGAATTTTGATGATGGAGGTGCTTGCCACTGGGATCATACAGATGAAATGATGGTGTACTTTCTTGCACAGACACTGTAACTCATTAATTTGAAGTGGCAGGGGGGGATCTCTTAGTTGAAACTCAAGCTCTGCCTTCTGTTTAATATTTCCCTTTTCCATGAGCTCAGAGAGAGAGAGGCTTCATGATCTCTGTGCATGTACACATTTTGAGAATAATGTTTGGAGTCTGCTTTTGCCTCAGGGGTCCTTCTGGTTTTTCTGTCATCCAGCAAGATCTTCAAGATAGACAGAAAAATACCGATAACGTGGTCTAAAAGGGAAGGGACAGCAAAACCAGTGTAATATGAATTAGTAATGAGGCATTAACAGGAACACCCATATTTCCCCTGCAAGCAATAGGCAAGTAGCTAAGAGTGAAGCCTCTGTATCTGTTTTTTAAGCCACAGGGATGGATTCTCAGCTGCCATGACTGGATGCTGATCCAGTGAAGTTAGTTACACTTTGCAAGTTCACACAATGTGAAAACACATATTTATAAATATATGTGTGAGCCTGCAAAATATATGTATCCACGTGCATATGTATGTTGGACTGCAGTAATTGTTTATTGACTGATTATATAGGACAGGATTTTTTGAGTAGACTTTCAGTTTAGTTGACAGCGAGGTGGGGATAACTAAGAAAGTATTTATCTGTGAGACTTAGCTGCCATTTTGCTGGGGGTTCAGGTACAACTTATTTTACATCTTGTCTTACATGGTGTTCTAAGACTCTTGTGTTCCTCCCATGGGTGGAATGGTTCTCAATTTGAGGCTATCCTCAGTCAGTGTTTCTGTATCCAGTAGAGCTGCAGTGCACAAAGGCCATACTAAGCTTATTTTCCTGCTCTGCCCTTTTTACCTTTTCTGGAGGACCCACTGACAGACACCTTACTTTTTACATGCTGAATAAGTGGGGGATAACTAAGAAAGTATTTATCTGTGAGACTTAGCTGCCATTTTGCTGGGGGTTCAGGTGCAACTTATTTTACATCCTGTCTTACGTGGTGTTCTAATATTCTTGTTCCTCCCATGGGTGGAATGGTTCTCATTTTGAGACTATCCTTAGTCAGTGTTTCTGTATCCAATAGAGATGCAGTGCAGAAAGGCCATACTAATCTTATTTTCCTGCTGTGTGCTTTTTACCTTCCTTGGAGGACCCACTGACAGACACTTTACTTTTTATGTGCTGAATACAGTTCTGAGAAACCTCTTTCCTTGAGAGGAGGGATATGACCTAAGTGTCCTCTTTTCATGGGACTCCTTAGATACCAGCAGCTTTGTGCTAAGATTTCTGTAGTTGTTAAAGGATTATTAGTGAGGTTACATGTTTCTGATTACTCTTGTACTACTTGGAAAGATGACTCTGAATCCCCTTTCTTGGAAATGAAGGTAACCAGAGGCAAAGGTGAAAATTACTCCATGTTCTGTGATCAGGAATAAATCATTTTAGCTGGTGGATGGATGAGGGTTTGGTAAGATTCATATGATTTTTTTTTCCCCCCTTCACAGACTTTCATCATTTAACTGCTTTCATCCCATTAAACCTTAACCTCAGGATTTGTTTAAACTTGAGATTCACTTTTGACATTTTGCTTAGTATTTTCACTCCCAAATTTATCCAGTAGCACACAGTACTAATAATGAAGAACATTAAGTACTGTGACAGAGTAAGTCTACTTAAATGAACAGGTAAGCACTGAGATCCCAATTCACCTTACCTTATTTCCTGGTCCTAAATTATAAGAGCTTGGTGTGTCTTAATAATGCAGACTTTCTTAGTAAGTGATGGAGACAATTTTTCAGAATGCAGTTCCCCCTCAGCTGAGCTGAGATGAAGCCTTTAGGTTTTAAGGAAAAATTATTCTTAAAGTTAGATATGTGTCTAAATACAGAACCACATACTATAATATTGAAAAGATAACAGGGATGTAGTTTTCCCTCACTAATTATTTGTCCTTTTTGTTTGTTTGTTTGTTTGTTTTGTTTTGTTGTTTTGTTTCTTTTTAATACAAGTTACTTTTTTCTGCAAACAAAAAAATGGAAAAGTGTTTTGCTGCACAGAACATGACAAAGCATAAGGTACAAATGCGTGCAGAGAAGCGATGACTGAGTGTGAGCTGCTCATCAAATATCCACAATTAGAGGAAGCAGGACATAGTGCGAAGTCAAAAGCCTTTATTTTCTGCATTCCTGCCATTATATCTTTATGATTGAGAGTAGAGTCCCAATGGAGCCTCCTGCCATGGTCTCATGACATTATTTAATTGAATAGTTGCACCGTGATGGAAGTTTTAGTGCTCACTACAGTGAAGTTGGAACAGAACACCCACCTGGTGCTGCTTCTGTTTCACAAGGGCTTGGGTGACTTTGAAAGTCAAAATGCCTTCAGGCTGTTAAATCTGTTTGCAAGAAGAATGATCATTTTGCTGTACTTCGTAATATGAAGAAAAGCAAAAACCTGAAAGCAAAACCCCTTCTTTATTTCCCTTTCTGACTTTCTGTACTATAGTTACATTTCTAATCAATCACAGTCCTTCCAAATAACAATTATAATGTTGACTCCTGAGGCAGTCTCTCCATTCTGTTAACATACCTGCTTACACTGTGGCTATTCCTGACTTGTTTGAAATATTTGGATCAAATGAAGTCTCAGTTTTTCCTCTAATTGGTTATGTTTTTCCCAATGTACTTTTCAACAGCTTTTAAACTTCTGAATCCAGTAGGTCTGAATTTCATTGCCCTTCCCCTGACTCTTTGGATTGCCTAATTTCAGCAGGTGTGTCTTCATCTTTGGCTTTCTTAATGCTCTGCAGATATTACTGTAACACTGCCCCCGGTATTTTTCTGAACTCTCTCTTAAGAAGAAATGAAAGTTCAGGATAGCATGATAACGTATGATGAAAAAGAAATGTCCAACTACAAAAAGTAGTTCAAAGAAGTATAGCCCATATATTTTATTGTTGCTTTTAGGTATGTGTATTTTTTTTATTTTTGCTGTACATTTTGGTAATAATATAGTGCTGAAAGACTCAGATTCAAGTCTGCACTATTATGTTGAATAGTTTTTATGTAGTGATACTGTTAGTCACTGTTGTAAATTAAAAGTACACAGTGGAATGCAATGTCCATATTAGTACTTTTATAAGGGAGGGAGGACAACTCAACCATAAATTTGAGCTAAGTTGTGGGGGACTTTATGCTTTTATGTTTTCTACCAGTTAAAGCATAGAAACATTTTGTAAATAGCCTCACAGTTTGGCAAATCTTCTGAGTTGCTTTTATATGGTAGAAGTCTAACTTTTATATTTGGTAGCAGTCCTTTGATTTACAAACAGTATTTGTTGCTTGGAATATTATTCAGCTTTGGCTAAATTGTTGAGAACTAAAACCAATTATTCTTAACTTACAAAAGACTGACATGGTAACTTAAAATGTTTCTGAAGTTTCAGTTAATTTAAGTGTCATTCTGTAAAACAATGCCCTGTACTTACTATTTCTGTAGGGAGATTTATCACAAACTGCATTGAACTGAGCTCCCAAAAATAGTCATTGCACTCATTGTGCTTGGCTTTTGAATACTTTGTATTATCACTGACCCTGAAATCAGACCAGCTCTAGCCTGAAGTTGCATAACCTCTATAATAACACCGGGAAGTCCTACAGATTAGGGCATGAGAACCACTGCACGAGGCTTCTGCAGTGCTACAGAGCTGTGCCTGCAGTGACACAAAGCCCTTCCTCTGGAGCCCCTCCACAGCTCTGAGTCCACAGCAGCAGCAAGCCCTCCTCTGCTACTTGGATTCACACCAGGGAGAAAAGGGGCTCTTAAGCCTGGGGAAGGTGCAATACTATCCCTACAGTACACAAAAATGGGGATGCTAACAGCACAGAAGTGTTCCTTTGTATTAGAGAACTCTGTTTCTGAGTATTTCAGTTTGTGCAGGAAGCTGATTTGGGATCGTGCTGCAGAACAGTATGCTTTGAAGTTGGTTGTGATTTTTGGCTCATACCACAGGAAGGTGCATCTAGTTGTGAGCTCTAGCGTAACACAACTTCATCTGATGAAGTTTCATCTGTCTGATAGAATCATCATAAAGTTGGATCACGTAATACATGTTTCATTTATTCCTAGGTCACACTACAAGCGACTCATTCAGAGTTGAGCTACCAGCCATAATAAGGGAAATACCTTAAAATACATTCCTTCTTGCTCATATGTTTTTCTTTAAGTTGTAGTTAAAGTGTTGTGGTTTTTTTTTAAAGCTTTAATTAAAGACCTTTTCAATGGTTCAGCATTTTTTTCTTATATTTGCATTAGTTGCACATCGTTGGTTTTAAAATGCATTTCTGATACTAATTTGATATTATTCTGAAAATATACAGGAGAAAACCTCAAGAGTCTTGTTCTTCTGTCCTTTTCTGACTCTGTCTTCCTTTGGCTCTTCTTCAGCATCCCTTTAGGAAGGTCTTGGTTTCCACTCATTGATCTCACTTCCCTCCCTTCATGTCTGTACTTCTACTTCCTCCATCTTCCTTTCCATGCTCATTCCTACATGTAACTTGAATTTTGTGATATGTTGTTCTAAATACCTCAGTTTTAACCCAGTGTAGTAAAAGCAGAACCTCTGCTGGTTGCCTCTAATCCTTTGCACTTCCCTGGGTTTCTTCCCAGTGTTGACATTTGTACTGTGTTCCTTCTACTTTGGACTGCAGCCCTCATAAGGAGACATTTTTCTTCTGGACAACTGAGGGCTGAATCGTACAAAT